ATCCAACCCCCACCCCCCCCCTGGATTTTTGTGCTGCAGTGAGGGGCTACTGGAATTTCCTGGCCATGGACCCACAATTTTGATGTTTTGTTCCCCAAGCCACTTAGTTATCACATTTGCCTCATGGCAAGGTGCTCCATCATGCTGGAAAAGGCATTGTTCGTCACCAAACTGTTCTTGGATGGTTGGGAGAAGTTGCTCTCGGAGGATGTTTTTGTACCATTCTTTATTCATGGCTGTGTTCTTGGGTAAAATTGTGAGTGAGCCCACTCCCTTGGCTGAGAAGCAACCCCATACATGAATGGTCTCAGGATGCTTTACTGTTGGCATGACACAGGACTGATGGTAGCGCTCACCTTTTCTTCTCCGGACAAGTTTTTTTATCGGATGCCCATAACAATCGGAAAGGGGATTCATCAGAGAAAATGACTTCACCCCAGTCCTCAGCAGTCCAATCCCTGTACTTTTTGCAGAATGTCAGTCTGTCCCTGACATTTTTTTTTTTGAGAGAAGTGGCTTCTTTGCTGCCCTTCTTGACACAAGGCCATCCTCCAAAAGTCTTCGCCTTGCTGTGCGTGCAGATGCACTCACACCTGCCTGCTGCCATTCCTGAGCAAGCTCTGCACTGATGGTGCCCCGATCCGCAGCTGAATCAACTTTAGGACAGTCCTGCCGCTTGCTGGACTTTCTTGGGCACCCTGAAGCCTTCACAGCAACTGAACCTCTCTCCTTGAAGTTCTTGATGATTCGATAAATGGTTGATATAGGTGCAATCTTACTTGCAGCAATATCCTTGCCTGTGAATCCCTTTTTGTGCAAAGCAATGATGACTGCACGTGTTTCCTTGCAGGTAACCATGGTTAACAGAGGAAGAACAATGATTTCAAGCACCAGCCTCCTTTCCAGACTTGTTATTCTAACTCAATCAGCATGACAGAGTGATCTCCAGCCTTGTCCTCGTCAACACTTACCTGTGTTAACGAGAGAATCACTGATATGATGTCAGCTGGTCCTTTTGTGGCAGGGTTGAAATGCAGTGGAAATGTTGTTTTTGGGGGGGATTAAGTTCATTTTCATGGCAAAGAGGGACTTTGCAATTAATTGCAATTCATCTGATCACTCTTCATAACATTCTGGAGTATATGCAAATTGCCATCATAAAAATTAGGCAGCAGACTTTGTGAAAATTAATAGGTCATTCTCAAAACTTTTGGCCACATCTGTATGATCAATGTTCTAATAATACAAGTAACATAAGCAAAAGACAGACAATATGAATGCATTTTTACCCATTCTTCATAACGTGAAGATTCCACAACTTCATTACTTCTTTTTCTCCTTCATTCACATCTGTGAATTCTTCAATTTGCTTCAGGCAAAACAAAACGTACTAATCATGACGCATGAACTGAATAGTTTCAGTCAGACTCATAATACATAAAAGAGCGTAAACTGTTCGATTCAAATGCAAATATCAATTACTATCGTACTTGTTTGACCAGTCGACTAACCGTGGTGGTCTTTTCTCTGAGCCACTCTGGATCCCTCTCATCCTCACTATCCACCTCCATCTCCTGTGGACGGAGGGGCATGCAGCTGTCGCTGTGGAAATACAGACGATTATGTCCACTCACATAAGACCGCTGCTGCTCTGGCTCACCGTCCTCCGACTCCAAAAACTCAGACAGACTTGGCTTGGTTCGCTTTAGCCTAAGTGAAAGTGAGAGATTATTAAACATCCATGGTTAACATTTCTGGCATCACAACCATATATAAAACAGGAGAATTCTGCATTTATCTGTATTATACTTTTAGAACTTGCAGCACATATATGATTTTGTCAGCAAAAAGAACACTTAGTGACTGATGCAAAATCGTATCGATTATGCATAATATGCCAACAATAAGTTGGGTCATGTAAATGCCTAAGCAGTTTTTTTTTTTTAATGAAGTAAAACTCATAATGGTTTAAGCAAAACCCATTTTGAAGACTTTGGCACATAACCCTGATTTTGTTCTACATAAAAATCGTTACAGGCATTCTGGCAGCTTATTCAATACGCACATCCTGTATTTATTTTGACATCAAAACCCTGGGGAAAACCCAATTTAAAAAACAGCTGAGCTCATTTTAAATAGGTGTCAGTGATGGAAACACACTTATTGCTTATAACAGGGGTGCCCAGACTCGGTCCTGGAGGGCCGGTGTCCTGCAGAGTTTAGCTCCAACTTGCCTCAACACACCTGCCTGGAAGTTTCTAGTATGACTAGTAAGAGCTTGATTAGCTGGTTCAGGTGTGTCTAATTGGGGTTGGAGCTAAACTCTGCAGGACAACGGCCCTCCAGGACCGAGTTTGGGCACCCCTGGCTTATAACAAAGGTTTAAATTCAAAATAAATAGAAATTGTGACCATACTTTTTGCATGGATAAATAATTTGTAATAAAAGCTGCAACATTCCATTATTAATTGAGAAATGTGCATTTTGATTTAATGGTGGGTTTACACATAAAACTAAACAAATATTAAAATGACCCTCTAGTCAACAATAATTGCATTTTTCCCAAAACACACTGACAGATTGAGACCTGTTTCATACCGACAAACAAGTATGTGAGTGACAGCTGTCCTCTTAACAGGGCCATTGCGGCTAAAGGCAAAGCCAGGCTGGCTGTGGATATCTTGCGGATTGCCAACATATGAGCCATCATAGCACTCATTTATGGACACGTCTATCCGAGCACCTTTAGGATGAGGCTGGAATACATAGAATTCAGGAACAATAGTTACAGGAGAAAAAAACTCACTTGTAATTTTTCTTAATTGTTTACAGCTTTTTGCACATATTACAGTTTTTCTCATTCATGCATGTTGCTTCACTCTAATGTATCAATAACTTATAATACTGCATACAGATATATGGATATATTTACATACCAAGATAAAAATCTCCATGTATAAACACTTTATATCGTTACCACAATATATACCATACCACCCAGCCCCATGTATAACTATATAAAGAATTTTTAACCTAATACATTGATTCTATTCATCTGTTGAAATTAAACAGGCAGAGATTTATGAATGTATACTACTGTGCTCACCACATAGTTAAAGATGAATCTACTGTGGGAGAGTTTGAGGTGTTTCAGCAGGCTGTAGAGTTTACGGCAGTTGAGAGTGCACCAGGGACAGTGCAGGTCGTCTCTGGCCTCTGTCTGCTGACGAGTGTTATTGTTGTACAGAAACTGTGGACAAACAGAAATACCAGCATGTTGCATAAAGTTCTTGAGATTTGTTTTTACATTGCAGATGGTTTTCCAGTAAACCTAATGAGTAAATTGTGTTCCCTTTCGAAGACGGTTCACTTCGACATTGTGTCAGGAATCTGATGCGACGGGGACTCCCTTCCTTTCTTAACCTACCTGAAATCTTATTGCACAACGCCAGTGAAGTTGCACTTCATACTGGCCAATGCCAGCCAAGACGGCGAAAAAGGGGTGGAGCCTCTCCGCTATATAATTGGCGGCATGAACTCAGAATCTTCCTCTTTCAAGCATCCTACTTCAAGACAGCTGTGGAGAAGACGCAAGAAGACGAATTTCCCTCTTGGCGTTCCAGCATGTCAAGCTATTGCACGCTGTGTTTGGGACCCATCGAGGCTCCGGACACCCATGAGTACTGCATCCTGTGCCTGGGTCTTGCCCATGCGGAGGCAGTACTCGCCGGGTCCGACTGGAGGAATATAGCACTTGGTGATTTCTCCCGGCAGCGTCCCACTGCTGCCTGCGAGCCGCTGGTGGGACCGCCGCATGGGAGCGATCACGCACGGCGCGCTTCGCCCCCCCGCTTTGTTGAAGAGAGCCTTCGACCCACCTCTGGTGCTTCGGAGGTTATGTCATTCGGCGCTGCGGGGGACTATGACGTCGATGAAGCGATGTCTCTAACAGCTTCCGAGAAGGACTGGGCCCACACTCCAGAGGAGCGCTCTGAAGTAGAGGGGCCCACCACATTTCAAGACGAGCTCGTCCGGATTCTCACCAGGGCCGTGAGGGATCTCGGTCTGGAGTGGGAGTCCCCCGATGAACCGGTTAAGAGTAAGCTGGATTCATGGTTCCTTTTCTCGGGCCGCCGCTCCGAGGAAGCGAGCCCCATTTCTTCCCGATCTGCACGACGAAGTCGCTAAGGCGTAGGCGGTGCCCCAGTCGGCTCGCACCCACGCCAGCAGATCGGAGATTTTCACTAAAGTCGACAAAGCGGAAGCCCGGGGTTATATGCGTATTCCGCCCGTCGAGGAGTCTGTCGCCACCCACCTCTGCCCCTCGTCGGCCTCTCTGAAAGCGGAGGCGATGCTGCCATTAAAACCCTGCCGTCTGACCGCCCACATCGCGCACAAAGCATACGCTGCCTCGGGAGAGGCGATTTCGGCACTTCATACGATGGCAGTGCTGCAGGTTTTTCAGCCACTTTTTTTCAGCCGCTATTTCCTGAGAGCGAGCGGAATGCGTATTTTGAATTATTTGGACGACTCGCTGGTTTTGGCCCATTCAAAAGATGTGCTCAACAGCCACAAACACGCCCTGTTACTTAATTTAGAGAGCTTGGGTCTCTGCATGAACTCACAGAAGAGCGCGTTATGCCCAAGCCAATCGATTACATATTTGGGGGTGCTGCTGGACTCGATGAGAGCGCGTCTGTGTCAAGAGCGCATACGAGATCTAATGTCTGCTCTGGATGCTTTCAGCCTGGGACATCCCGTGGCGCTGAAAGAATATCAGAGACTTTTGGGGTGGATGGCGGCAGCTGCGACGGTGTGTCACCTCGGTCTTCTTCATATGCACCCCCTCCAGATTTGGCTGAAGACGCGGGGAAGTAGCGAGAAGGGCCTGGGTAATGGGCCATGCTCGCGTGGTGGTTACTCGCAGGTGCCTGATCGCGCTGAAACCATGGCGAGACCCCGACCTGTACCGACGCGGCGTCTGATGGGCTGGGGAGTGCATTGCGACAGCATACCGGACTCGGGCTCCTGGGCGGAGTCGGAGAGGACGTGGCACATAAATCGCCTCGAGCTGAGAGCAGCCTTTTTAGCCCTCCGGAGCTTTCTCACGCAGGTACGGGGGCATCATGTGCTGATTCGCACGGACAATACGTTGGTCGTATCGTACATAATCCGCCAAGGCGGGGTTTGCTCGAAAGCCCTCTGCGAACAGACGGCACGCCTGTTGCTATGGGCTGATCACCATCTGCTCTCCATTCGCGCAGCGCACGTTCCGGGTTGCCTGAACAGCGGCGCGGATATGCTATCGAGGAACGGGATTCCTCACAGAGAACTTGGGAGCGGTTCGGGAAAGCAGAAGTGGATCTGTTTGTGACAGAGGAGAACATGCATTGCCCGCTGTTCTTCTCTCTGTCGCGCTCTCCCCTGGGCGGGGACACACTCACAATGCCGTGGCCGAAAGCCCGGTTGTATGCGTTCCCCCCGCTGAAGATTTTGCCACAAGTGCTGCACAAAATCAAAGAGGAGAGGGCGCCGGTGATTCTAGTGGTTTCCCGACCTGCTGGAGATACTGACTGCAGATTCCACTGAGACGGGACCTCCTCTCTCTCAAGCGGATGGCTCGATATGGCACTCCAACCCCAAATGGTGGAAACTTCATGTGTGGATGGTGTGCGGGAACCGGTAACCCTGGGCTCGTTATCTAGCCAGGTGATGGACATGATTACGGATATAATTGTGCAATAAGATTTCAGGTAGGTTAAGAAATGAAGGGAGTCCCCGTCGCGTCAGATTCCTGACGCAATGTCTCCCGTCTCTCAGGGAACCAAGGTTACGAAAGTAACCGGAGACATTTTCTATGATGTAGTATACAAGTGACTTTAAACAGTGCAATATACATAAATGTACTGTAATAAAGAGTTCACAATTCCTACCTGATAAAAGATGCGTAGTTTTTGTCTGGGTTCACAGGGGGACTGCTCACTCCTAGTCTGTATGCTGGTGCTCACTAAATCCTTCGCCACTGAGAGAATAAAATGATAAACAGCTCTATTCACCATTACAGGTCCATCACAAAAAGAGCCTTGATCAGACATTACGGAATCAGAAACTTCACAAACTAAACAGACCAAGCAGGCCACGAATGAGCAATATCACTCGAGTACGAGAGCGATACCGGCTCTATATCAGCATGGCTGTGATTAGGCCAGAGGCAATCACAGCCGCTGATATAGCCGGTATCGCTCGAGTACGAGAGTGACATTGCGTTTATACAACAGTTCGACGGAACGTGTGTAATTAAACAAGAAACAATGGAGTACGGAACTACTTCCTTCCGCCACGGATTCAAAGCTCAAGTTGACAGTTAAACATACATCACTTTTAGAATTCGTATCAAGGGCATGTGCTGCTTCAGTTAGGTTATTAATGAGAAATAATGAGGTTATAAGAGAGAAACAATGCGGCAAGACGTGCATCCGAATGAGAGAGAGACCGTGAAGCTAGACTGATTAATGTGCATGCGTTTTTATTTTCAGATTTATAGGTCTGACTTGACAAACATTTTTATTAGTTTAGTCAAACCATTGCATGCAATTACAACAAATGAATATACATTTCCAGCATCTTCCGCAACATTAACATTTATACAAAAAGGCTATTTAATAAGTTAAACAACTGATATTTTTCCCTCAAAAAACTAATCAGCATTTCATAACATAAAATATACTTATATATTTTTTGTTCCTAAATTTTTTTTAATCTCAAAGTCAGGTTTATTATATTTTACAAAAAAAATGTCATAAGCATATCATAAAATATATTATGTATTTTTGTTTTTCATTAAACAATTACAATTTGCTCAAAATCTATTACATTTCTGATTTACAGTGAGTGATGGTTCTCGGAACCACTGTTCACATTTATTTGTACGTTGCCGTATATCGTACTAAATAGTTATTCGTGGAGATAAAGTCTTTGTTGTTCTTTGTTATTTTTCTGGTATGGTTTCCGTTTGATCTGATGCTAGTACAGCGTTTTCTGTTGTTTAGTGATGGTCTCCAGTAGGATTTCAGTGAGCTTTCTGACCTAAAAAAAAATGTTTTAAATTAGAACGCGTATTTTGCATTATTTAATTTCCACTGTATGGGTTAAACAAATCAGAAACATACCTGTGTCCGCTGACGGCTATGATTTCTCTCGCTTGGAGCCCTGCATCAGACAATTTTCGGATTGCAGTGGCCCCGATGCTGTGGTTCGTGTAGGAAGATCGCGTCCCAGCTTCTTTACACATTCTCGGGAGCATTTGTGACAGCTGATTACTGCCCAGAGGAACAGTGCTATACCATATCTTGTCGTTAGCTTCAAATCTCCTCTTAGGGTGCAGATACAGTGCTTTTGCGTCAGGTGGGAGTTTGCTGAGATATTTCTCTAGCGAAGAAACTGGGCACATGGGGTTACCGGGCTCTTCAAACATAGCGCCCCTCCGATTTTCCCTGTCGACCTCCAGTGGGTTTTTGTGGTTTTTCGTTTCCTCATTAAATGTCAACGTGAAATATTTCATACCATTTTCGTCTCTCTTTAGTTCAAACGAGTCTGGCATAAGTTGTCGATTGCCCTCCTTCCCTCTTCATGCAAAGTGTAACTGAATGTCATGCCACACCTTGTTTAATAAACCTTTCGGGTTGCCAGGGTCAAGTGCAGCAGATCGCTTCAGTATTTGCTGGTTTTCATGAAATCGGAGGGTAGTGTGATGTTCTGTCTGTACCGGATCGTCGGATCTGTTTGACAACTCTTTTAAAAACGTTGTTGGGGGACGTAAACTCAGGGTCTTGCATTAAATTCCATGCACGACTAAGAGGAGGTTCATTAATGTGGCGAATCAGCGCCGATCGAAGACTCAAGTAACTGCTGATACCATACAGTTCTCCTTTACTGGTCCTAATGGAGCCATAGAAATCGCGCAAAACTGAGCTCATTTGTGATTTCTCGATGTGTTTGAGGTCGATATTGAGCTGTTTTTCGGATAACCATGATTTAAATCAGTTCACAGCCCACACTGTTTGCCGCACCGTGTTATTTTCATGTTGGGTTTTTTCTAAATTGTCCAAATCTGCAGGTGTAATGGCTGCACTTCTTGCTGTTTGGCCTGTTAGTGATTCCACTGCATCTCATCGTCTGTTGAGCTTTCGTAGTTAATATCAAATGAAATATTCATAAAAATGTGTCGTTTGCCATGTTTGTTTCTTCTTATTTTAACTAACATACTCTACGATTAGCTCAGTGAATAATAAAAAAAAAAAAAACATAGACCCGGCTAGAACAAGCGGAGTGATACAAAATTGTGAAAGGGCGTTCTTGTAGCGATACCAGTACAATATCTCACAATATCTCACAATATCTCAACCAGAACGAACTGTTGTATAATTGCTAACAAACTTAAACAGATGCTAGTTTGCTTCCTTACCAACAGGTGCATTTCGGAGAGTGCTGAGTCTGCTCTCTGCGGTGCTGGTGTCAGAACTGCGAGTGGAGAGAGGTTTGGCCACAGGGGCCGTTGAAGGGTCACTGGGGTCACCTGTCCAGCGAAGAGTGAACTGCAAAGTGGGTCCCTGAGAGAAGGTCTCAAAAGGGGGCAACCTCTTCAAAATACAAGAATCAACAGTTGCGATCTACATTGCCACTGAATGAAATCATACATCTACTACAATTTGGGAAATAAAGCTTTTTATTTTTAAAAGCTAGCTTTTTTTTTTTTTTATAAAAAATGATGACTACATTTGACTGCTAAGCAACACCCCCACTGATTTTGTTTAGAACTTTAAATGCTCAACAGGAAAGATAGCAGTAGGGCTGGGCGATATGTCAAAAATATCTTATCGATAATCGCCTTAAAAAATATAGCGATATCCGATAATATCGTCTATCCAAGCCCCCCCTCCACCACGCCCCGCCCCCGCCGAGACAACATTGAACAGGAAAGATAGCAGTAGGGCTGGGCGATATGTCAAAAATATCTTATCGATAATCGCCTTAAAAAATATCGCGATATCCGATAATATCGTCTACCCAAGCCCCATCTCCACCACGCCCCGCCCCCGCCGAGACAACATTGCCGACGTGCACCACAAACACACACCATGTTCAGTTTGGTCTTAATTATTGCCACATTAAAGTTTGGTTTTACTTAGTTTGTGCTTAAATTAACAGAAAACATTAGCTTTGCTGTTATGTTGGTGTAGCTAATAATTTCCACTCTGTTCTTATCAAATTTGTGTTTTAAATGAATTTCGTTTTGTGAGGAGAACTGTTGAGGAAAAATAACCCAATTTTAAGTTCATCGTGGTGAAGTTGGACATTCTGGCAGTGATTGTAAGAATGATAAATGCATGTTGTCATATAGTAATGTCATGAATAAAATATGCCTATATTTTCCGATATTTCTCTTTCTTTTTGGCATTATCGCCTGTAAAGATATTTCATGATGGCAAGTTTAATTTCCTTGATTATAACAATTGTAGCGTTGTTTTTAAACTTGTAGTCAAGCTATAACGTATTTGATATTTACCATGGATGACTAAAATCAAGCAGGGATTAAAAACTAATTCTGAGCAAAAATGTTTTTTTTTTTTCCTTTCTGGTAGCCTACTAGTTAGGAGGCTCTTTTGGCCCGTTTTTAATGAAATAAAAAGAACTGCTTTATTTATTTAGAAGCAGGGGTAATTTAAATTTCATTTTTGTATTTTAATTTTTATCATTTTTATTTTACTAATCAAAATATAACGCCCACAATATAATATTCGCTGCCGAAACTCCGAACGCATGCATGTTGAGGGGCAAGCTGAGATATACTGTAGTACTATAATGTCTTCATCCATTTGCAACAAAACTTTATAGTTTTGTTGCAAATGAATTAAGAATTTGTAGTGCTATATCTCATAATTAAACATAATTATACTGTATACTGTTTTAAAAAAGCTGTAAAAAATAGGGTGCTATGTGCGCTGTATGAATAGGCTTTGTCCGTTCGAATGTGTGAGAATGCGAGAACGAGAGCTCAGTCCAGTGTTCGCGTATATAAGAGGCGGCTTTTGTGCGTGCGCTTTGTGTGTGTGTGTGCGCAGCACAGAAAACAGCGCGCGAGTGCAGAAGCGAGTTCTATTTTGTGTTCTTGCAGTTGAATCTTTTGAAATCACAATAAATGTGCATACAGAAATCGAGAAGCAGAATCGAAATGTAATTTTATAACAAGTAATTCCTGATTCCTGACCTTACGCATCTGATCTGATTTCCGAAATTGGAATAGCGTTTCGATTCCAAACCCTTCTACCCTGACCTTCCGCATCTGATCTGATTTCCGAAATTGGAATAGCGTTTCGATTCCAAACCCTTCTACTAAATGATTTCATTCTTGCATGCAAAAAGACCTGTATGGTGACTAGGGATGTAACGATTCACTCAACTTGCGATTCGATTCACAATTTTAATTTCACGATTCGATTCACAATTTTTTTTTACAAAATGAGATTTAAGACAAATTGCTAAATAACTTAAATATAATGAAAATGTAAATAACTAAACTAAATTGAAATTTTAAAACAAGCTCCAAATCAAATAAATAAGTAACACAAATAAAAGACATATCTTCATATATACAAAATAAGGCTTTGTCTGTGCTCTTTCCATTTAAAATTAGAGGCAACCACTGCATTTTAATCATGATCCAA